TGCCAGCGGGCGTTCGACACTTCACGTGGCTTCAGGGTGCACATAGCCTGGCACAAGCGTCGTGGTGACGTCACCGCCACTTAGTGGCGAATGGCGGTTGTTGTTGTTGTTTGTGTCATTGTGGGGAGCGATAGTGCAGCGGTTAGCGCTACGCTGCGTGACAAACTCGGCGATTCTAGTTATATTCCCACTCCCGGCCAAGACCAGTGACGATTATCTGAACCGTTTCTCTGCCTCCCCTAGGTCGACTCAAATGAGTACCTGGTGCGGTGTGTGAACATCGCCAACTCGGGAGGCATAGGCGGCCGGGCGTGGTGCTTGCCACGCACCTCCTCGTGTGCCGTGCAGGCCTTCATAGGTGCTTGGTGACAGTACTTGCTCCAACAGCTTGTCAAAGGCTATGCGGGGGATCTTTGTCATTGTCTTTGTGTATTTACGTGACTTCAAAGGCAGTGCCGAGTTCTTAAACTCATTTGAGGTCAATGTATTTTTTTTAACCAATTTCCTGCGGTAAACAATGTGTGCTGCACAAGCACTTGCTACACCGCAGCACTGGGAGCTCAGGCGGTCCCTCGCAGGCCATTCATAATCACCAGGCATCACCAGTGGCGGGAGGTCACGTTAGCCCACAGGTATTGTCGGCACGTCAACTTTACACGAGTCTCGCAGGTGCGCTGCCAGCCATGCTGCCCCCCATTGTGCAGTCAACCTGGTGCCACTTTCCCTGCCACGTCTCCGAGGTGAAGATATTTTTTCTTTCAAAATTGGATCGGAGGAATGAAGGGGTAAAAAAAACAACAACGAAAAAGGGTGAAAGCGTTACCCATCTCGGGATCACCACGCGCGTCCTCCGAGCCGTCGTGACGACCAGTGGCAATGCACCCACGTGGCAACGATTGACGAGACCCCACCCCCCCCCCCCCCACCCCCCGGGAAAGAGAAGGCTACCACCAAGTTGGTGATCAATTAAAAAAAAAGAGCAACCGCAAAGATTTGCAACTTAGCGAAGGTCGCTGAACAAAAGCAAATCGCTGTCGGAGGGGGCACAGCTGGGCTGAGCGTGGAGATCGCTCAGTTGCGGAATATGGATAGAGATCACAATTGTGAAGTATATGAGGCTGAGCGAGAGCAGGTTGGAGTGCTGGAGAGAAACCCAAATTGGATCGTGAAGAGAGCCCGAAAGATGTGCAACAAAGGAGGAGATGTCATTCCTTGTGGAATACACTGCTGCAACAAATATAGACTCGTAGATACTCATAAAGATACATCAAGACTCACAGAGATACATAGAGACTCGCAGAGATACACAGACTCGTAAAGATACATCAAGACTCACAGAGATACATAGAGACTCACAGAGATACACAGACTCGTATAGATACATCAAGACTCACAGAGATACATAGAGACTCGCAGAGCTCACAGACTCGTAAAGATACACAAAGACTCACAGAGATTCATAGAGACTCGCAGAGATACACAGACTCGTAAAGATACATAAAGACTCACAGAGATTCATAGAGACTCGCAGAAATTCACAGACTCGTAAAGATACACAAAGACTCACAGAGATACATAGAGACTCGCAGAGATACACAGACTCGTAAAGATACACAAATACTCACAGAGATACATAGAGACTCGCAGAGATACACAGACTCGTAAAGATACATAAAGACTCACAGAGATTCATAGAGACTCGCAGAGATACACAGACTCGTAAAGATACATAAAGACTCACAGAGATTCATAGAGACTCGCAGAGATACACAGACTCGTAAAGATACATAAAGACTCACAGAGATTCATAGAGACTCACAGAGATACACAGACTCGTATAGATACATCAAGACTCACAGAGATACATAGAGACTCGCAGAGATACACAGACTCGTAAAGATACACAAAGACAGAGATTCATAGAGACTCGTAAAGATACACAGACTCGTAAAGATACACAAAGACGCACAGAGATTCATAGAGACTCGCAGAGATACACAGACTCGTAAAGATACACAAAGACAGAGATTCATAGAGACTCGCAGAGATACACAGATTCGTAAAGATACATAAAGACTCACAGAGATTCATAGAGACTCACAGAGATGCACAGACTCGTATAGATACATCAAGACTCACAGATTCATAGAGACTCACAGAGATACACAGACTCGTAAAGATACATCAAGACTCACAGAGATTCATAGAGACTCACATAGATACACAGACTCATAAAGATACACAAAGACTCACAGATTCATAGAGACTCGCAGAGATACACAGACTCGTAAAGATACACAAAGACTCACAGAGATTCATAGAGACTCGCAGAGATACACAGACTCGTATAGATACATAAAGACTCACAGAGATTCATAGAGACTCGCAGAGATACACAGACTCGTAAAGATACATAAAGACTCACAGAAATTTATAGAAACTCGCAGAGATACACAGACTCGTAAAGATACACAACGACTCACAGAGATACATAGAGACTCGCAGAGATACACCGACTCATAAAGATACACAAAGACTCACAGAGATTCATAGAGACTCGCAGAGATACACAGACTCGTATAGATACATCAAGACTCACAGAGATTCATAGAGACTCGCAGAGATACACAGACTCGTATAGATACATCAAGACTCACAGAGATACATAGAGACTCGCAGAGATACACAGACAAGTAAAGATACATAAAGACTCACAGAGATTCATAGAGACTCGCAGAGATACACAGACTCGTATAGATACATAAAGACTCACAGAGATTCATAGAGACTCGCAGAGATACACAGACTCGTAAAGATACATAAAGACTCAGAGATTCATAGAAACTCGCAGAGATACACAGACTCGTAAAGATACACGACTCACAGAGATACATAGAGACTCGCAGAGATACACAGACTCGTATAGATACATCAAGACTCACAGAGATACATAGAGACTCGCAGAGATACACAGACTCGTAAAGATACACAAAGACAGATTCATAGAGACTCGCAGAGATACACATACTCGTAAAGATACACAAAGACTCACAGAGATTCATAGAGACTCGCAGAGATACACAGACTCGTAAAGATACATAAAGACTCACAGAGATTCATAGAGACTCGCAGAGATACACAGACTCGTAAAGATACACAAAGACTCACAGAGATACATAGAGACTCGCAGAGATACACAGACTCGTAAAGATACACAAAGACTCACAGAGATACATAGAGACTCGCAGAGATACACAGACTCGTAAAGATACATAAAGACTCACAGAGATTCATAGAAACTCGCAGAGATACACAGACTCGTAAAGATACATAAAGACTCACAGAGATTCATAGAGACTCACAGAGATGCACAGACTCGTATAGATACATCAAGACTCACAGAGATACATAGATAGAGACTCGCAGAGATACACAGACTCGTAAAGATACACAAAGACAGAGATTCATAGAGACTCGCAGAGATACACAGACTCGTAAAGATACACAAAGACTCACAGAGATTCATAGAGACTCGCAGATATACACAGACTCGTATAGATACATTAAGACTCACAGAGATACATAGAGACTCGCAGAGATACACAGACTCGTAAAGATACATCAAGACTCACAGAGATACATAGAGACTCACAGAGATACACAGTCTCGTATAGATACATCAAGACTCACAGAGATACATAGAGACTCGCAGAGATACACAGACTCGTAAAGATACATCAAGACTCACAGAGATACATGGAGACTCGCAGAGATACACAGACTCGTAAAGATACACAAAGACTCACAGAGATACATAGAGACTCGCAGAGATACACAGACTCGTAAAGATACATAAAGACTCACAGAGACACATAGAGACTCGCAGAGATACACAGATTCGTAAAGATAGATAGACTCACAGAGATACATAGAGACTCGCAGAGATACATAGACTCGTAAAGATACATAAAGACTCACAGAGATACATAGAGACTCGCAGAGATACACAGACTCGTAAAGATAGATAAAGACCCACAGAGATACATAGATACTCGCAGAGATACTTAGAGACTGGGTGACAAGTGGGATACGTTTTGCCCATTCCTGGCCAGTTGGCTCATCAAACACCGAATACACTAACTCACTAACTCACTCATGCGCAGAGGTTCAGATGTTCCATCCCTGCGCTGTCTTGCAGCCTAAGCCGTTTCTCTTGCTGGGTGTTCAACGTCGCTATGTCACAGCCTCAATCAGTTCAATTTGTCAGCGGTTGGTGACTTGGAATTGGGAGTTGACGTGGCACCGTGTGTGTATCTTTGTGTGTGCATGTATGACTGTGTGTGTGTGACTTTGTGTGGGGAGCGATAGTGTAGCGGTTAGCGCGCTGCGCTATGAACCTGGCGACCCGGATTCGATTCCCGCTCACGGCCAACACCAGTGACGATTATCTAAACCGGTCCCGGGCCTCCCCTAGGTCGACTCAGCCTCAAATGAGTACCTGGTGCGGTGTGTAAACATTGCCACTAGGGAGACAAAGGCGGTCGGGCGTGGTCCTGGCCACCCACCCCCTCGTGTTCCGTTCCGGCCTTCATAGGTGCTCGCTAACAGCACTTGCCTCTACAGTCTGTTAAGGCTATATGGGGGATCTTTGTGTGACTTTGTGAACATATGACTGTGTGTGTGTATGTGTCAGCGGTAGTGTAGCGGTTACCACTCTTGCGCTACAAGCTCGGCGACCCAAGTTCGATTCCCGCTCACGGCCAATGCCAGTGACGATTATCCAAACCGGTCTTCCCCTAGGTCGATTCAGCTTCAAATGAGCACTCGGTGCGGTGTGTAAACATCGCCGCTGGGGCAGTCGCCCGGGCGTGGTGCTGGCCACCGTGTGCCACAGTGCCGGCCTCCATAGGCGCTGCTGCTCGCTAACAGCACTTGCCCCAACAGTCTGTTAAGGCTACACGGGTAGGGGGGAGATCTTTGTGTGCGACTCGGTGTGGCAGGTTTTTGGAAGCGATGCGGAGCCAGCCGAGGGTGCCACTGCTGGACAGGGGAGCGCCGGTGTATGCGGCGGGGCTGGCGCTCGTCTCGTTGGGCTCCCTGCTGGTGCTCACCAGCTTCTGGGCCCTTGGCATCACGGGGACATTTCTGGGTGAGCCACCGTGCGTGTCCTGTCCCGGCTTGCGGCCAGTCTTCCGCTTGACGTGGTGGCGAGGTGTTAACTCCCTCGCCTGGTATGCAGGAGGTCGTGGGTTCGTTTCCGACCCCGATGACGCCTGCTGCTGCTGTGTATTTGGAGTTTGCGTGTCTCTCCCCCTGTGGTCAAGTCGATTTTTCTGCAGGTCCTCCGGTTTTTTTCCCTCCACGATTTCCCTACCTTTAGAATAAATATCGTGCATTTAGAGTATTTGGCCATTATAAATTTCCACGAGATAAGCCACTTCGTTGAGCTTTCATTTGTGATGGCCAGGTAGCTTCTGAAAAAAAAGCTATATAGCTCAGTGAGCCTTACCTGGTAAAAGTAAAATAGTTTATAATTTTTGGAGATGCAGTTCTGTACTGTTGCTCGTTAATGCGATCGCTTACCGCACCTCTGATCATCACGGTTGGCTACGTACGGTGCGAAAGAAGTTCATCATACGTAAATATAAATGCGATGAGCGTAAAGCGACCTTCCCCGTGTCTGCAGGACCCCCTGTGTGTGCGTCACTACAGTGGTTCACGTATGATATATATGAATGTCTCAATTTGGAACGTGCGTACCTCTGTTGAACTTTTTCCGCACCGCACGTATCCAACCGCGCTAATCGGAGGTGCGGGGGGGAAGGACAAAAAAACGAAACAACAAGAAGCAGCTCTAAAGGAATGAGCTTTCAATCTCGATTATGTAAAAGTGCATAGTTCCCTGTGGCTTCCTAATATTGGAAGGAAGAGCATTCCAGACGGCCGCAGAAGCAGCGCATCTGAAAGCAGGCGATGCGGTGACCGTCTTTGTTCGACGGTTAGCCAGAAGCCGCCGCTGCCGCTGCTGCGAGGGGTTACAGGTACAGGAGCA